CCCGGTTTTGTTTGGAGGATCAGTCTGCCCGGAGCCGACGATGGATCATCATGGGTCCCAGCCAAGCCTGACGAGCCTTTTGCTCACTCTCTCCGCTCCCCGTGCGGTTAGGCGCTTCCATGCGCCCAGCTCTGCTGCAGTCAGAGCTCTGTCCCTTCCTGTGAACTGAGCAAAGCCAAGGGGAGGAGTCCGGGGAAAGTGTTGCTGCCCCGCCCTCGCTCTTCCCGCTGTGGATGTGGGTGTGATGTCTGGATCTGGGCAGCCACTTGCGGCCATGAAGGAAAAGCCTCCGCACCTGTCTTGTCGAGCATCTGGTTCTGTGAGAAAAGTAAACCCCTGTTTGTTCAAGTCTCTCTTGGCCCAGGTTTTTGTTACACGCGGCTGACATGTCCCCGACGGGGCGGGGTCTTTGATCTGCCTGTCACAGTGGCGTTGACTTGGGTCCCGAGCCATCCATCCTTGCTCTGTCCTCGCTGTGCAGCCTTGGGGAATCCACTAGGTCTCTCTGGCCTGTTTGCCCAGATGTTCCTGTTCTAGTAGATGAGAAAGGGAATACCTTCCTCCCGGGTTGATGTCTGGATAGAACGATGCGGTGTCGGGCACGGCACAGCGCCCGGCACAGAGAACAGCGACTGCTGTTAGTGTGTGTGCGTCATGGTGTGACAGGTGTGTGTGCGGCATGTGCTCTTTCTTCTACACATGTCCGTGCTAAGACTTGTGTGTGGTGTACGTATGTGTTTGTGCCCCGGTCACACGTGTGTACATGTACACGTGTGTGAATGTGTGTGTGCCAGGAGGTGCTGGTATGCGGGAGCTCCTCCTCCTTTCCTCTGCCCTCAGGCCTGGGTTGGGGGAGGCCAGGGAATCAGGGAATCGGAAGGCAGAGTGGCGACTCGGAGCTGAAGGATTCAGCCTCTGATGTCGGATAAAGGGGGATGACAGCCAAGGTGGGAGCTGAATAAATGCAAGTGCCCTGAGAATGTCGGTCCCAGAGCGGTTGGATGAATGAATGAAGTGACTGTGGGAAATGTTGGCCGGTGGTGCTCGGCTGGGGCGGGTAAGGGATGGGAGGTGCCTTCTCCCCATCCGCACCACGCCCAGTGATGCGGGGAGTCAGGGTCACAGTGGGGCTCTGGGCTGGGGGAGGAGGGAAGAGGGAGGAGAGGGCCTAAGGGGTGGGGGCTCCTGTGGACACACAGTCCAGCCCTTGAAGGACTGGTCCCTGCTGCTCCCCTGTCTGGGACCCCTGAGCCCCAGAGCCTCAGCCCTGTTTTCCGGGGGGCAGCCTGAGCCCCAGCGAGGGGCCACTGTGTGCTCGGGGTCACACGCAGGTCAGGTGCTGAGCTAGAGGGCTGGGCTCTTCCAAGCCTTCTGTCTCCCTGGGCTGCGTCTGTGGGGTGTGAGCCAGGAGGAGTGGCCCGGCCCCGCAGCCCGGGGGTGGGAGGGTGGGGGTGGGGGTGGTGTGTGCTCCAGAGCCACGGTCCGGTCCGGTCCGGTCCGGTCCTCTCCGCGCTGCACGTGGAAGGCGGCCTGCCGCCCTGCTGAGGGAAGCAGCATCAGACTCGCGGGCTGTTCCCAAATTCTGAGGGTCGAGTGGAGGGTACAGGCCATCTGCTGCCTCCATTGTCCCAAAATAGCTGTGGGGGGGGGGGGCAGAGTCAGCAAGGATCAGAATTGGGATGGAGGAAGGAGGCTGGGTTTAACCCTGTGTGTGTCTGGACGGGAGAGCGTGCAGCCGCCTGTACTCTGTGCTGAGGTGACCCTCGTGGGCCCGTGGGCAGGCGCTGGGAGCAGGGGCAGGTTGAACTACCCCATCTTGGCCTTGCTGTGCCCCTGGGCCACATGTCACTCCCGTTTGCAGGTTAGGAAACTGAGGCACAGAGAGGGAGAAGCCCTTGGTCCAGGTCACAGGGCTATGGGTGCCAGAGCCGACTTGAGGCACCTGGCCCTGCCGAGGTCACCTCAGCGTGGGCCGGCTCTGGAGGTCAGGAGCCTCTCCGGGCCCGGCTCCACCTCCGCTGGTCTCCCCTGTGACACAGGCGCCATGACTTCGACACAGCGTGCTGTGTGGTCTCTGGAGGCTGCACAGGAAGCTCCTGGCGCGGGTAGCGTCTTAAGAAGCACCACCACCCTGCCCTCTCTGAGCTCAGCGTTCTTGGCTGTAAAAGGGGGTGAAAGGGGTGCTGGGCTGGCCTCCCTCTCCACTCTGCCACCCAGGTCCCAGCCCTTGTCAGTCCCACCTGCACAGAAGCCTCCTTGCTGGTCTCCCCACTGCACAGGCCCTGGCACACTGCCCCCCCCCATTTCTCCTGGTGGGTGCCCAGGCCCTCTCCCTGGAGTGCACCCCCATCTCTGCATGGCTGGATCGGGCTCCAATGTCCTCTCCTAGGGAGGCTCTCCCTGGCCGCCATGCCACGGTGGCCACCTCACTCCACGGTGGTGCTCTGCAGAGCTCTAACCCTCGCAGACACGTCTCT